GGGGAGAAACTGAGTGAAGGCTACACAAGACCTCTCAGTCCTATTTTTTTCCTATGAATCTATAATTGTTTCAACACAGGAAGTTGTTGTTGTTTTTTTAAAAACACCTCAAAATAAATCAAGCTTTGTTTGGTACTAAGAACTCAGCTTTCTGCCACGGTCCCTCATAAGGGAATTAAGTATTGTAGTGACAACCCACCTGTGCTGGTCCTGTGGGGTACAGGCAAGTGTAAATTCACACAGCTATGTCTTTACATTCTTCCTCAATGGAAACTGAGAATGCAATGCCCAAGTACATGTCAGTGAACTTACGACACAGAATGAGGCCCAAACCAGCCCAGCTCCACAAAGGTCCTCTGATGGGCCCATCTGTCCAGGCGCACCTTGGCTTCTCAGCTCCACCATTACTATCTCTCCAGCTTTGGGATGGAACTGGGGCTCTCTGCAGGCCAGTGCCTCCACAGGCAGAAAGGGGGGTGAAGTAAGGGCTGGAAATGGTTAAAAATCCAGGACAGGATAAAACCAAGCAAGGATGCAAAGAGGGAGAACAAGCAGAGGCAAGGTCTGGACTTGGGGGGCCACCCACATTCTTCTGTGTGGACCATGACCTGTTCCACAAACAGAGCAGGAGAAGGTTAGGGGAAGCCACGCTCCCATCCCAACATCTAGGTCTCCCAGAATGGGAACAAAAGGACTCACTGTCATAGACAAAAGAGAATGATTAGACAGAGTAGAAATGAGCTATCTATATTGTTAGACATAAGTTGCTCTTCCATTTGTACTGTGGCAGCATAGGTCACAAATTCATCATCAGGAGAGAAAAATGAAAGCTAAGAAAGGCTCTGAGCATCATCACAGGAGGAGAAGGTCTGAGTGACCTGTGACTCCCCACGCCACCCCACCAGTTTCCACTGTTCTTCCTGCCAACCCCCTCAAGCGGCACAAGGCAGGGACAGATGCCAGGAAAACAGAAACGCTGTCCTCAGTGTCACAGAAACACCACCCCTGAGGAGGAGTGGGCATGTCTTAACTCATGGGCATTCCTTGGCCCAGGAGATTCAATTGAGACAGTTTTCCTGAGTTGCAGTTACTGGGAAATAGCACTTTCCTCTGGAAACTGAGAGGTTAAGTCCAAGGTGCCTCCCTATGGTTGGGGCTCAGGGACCTCCAGAAGTTATGGTCGCAGGGCAGGACAAGTACCTCTCCCTCAGTTTTGGGCCTCCCTCTCAGGTCAGAGGTCACCGGGACAACTCAGGCCAAGCTGTGAGATTTGTCCATTCTTTTCTTCTCACTGTTCTTCCCTAGCTCTCCACCCCCGCAGGACTTTCCCCACTGACTGGATATACATTGTTTCACTGCACCAGGGCCCTGGGTATGTGAGCAACTGAAATTTGGGCAGCAGTAACCAATGAACCATTCCTTTTATAAGATAACCTCAATTTGGCCCCAAAGTCTCATTTTAAGGTGAAACGGATCTCTGTGAGGCTGCCAGGATATGTTAACCACAAAGGCTTCCTCCTACCTCCCCCACCCCTGCCCCCATAATCATTGAATGAACCTGTTTTTTGTTTGTGCTTTTGTTTGTTTTTTAAATCAAATGAAACATTTATTAATAAATGAAGCCTATTTTATTATTTCAAGTGTTAATGATAAAAAAATTTCAGCACAGCTGTTGCATTTTAAAAAGTGAAACTACATACTATGTTTCTAGCTCAGTAAACAGATGAACCTGATGTCGTTGAATGACATAACAATTGAGCATTGTACAGTACAGCTTATGAAGACCCAAAAATTAAAGAACTACTGGTTTGAATGAACCTGTTTTTAATTCAGAATTTTAGAGTTCTGGGTGCTGAACTGCTCTGACCATGATTGGTGAGCCGGCCCTCTACTCCTTAGGAATCTTGTAAGCCAGAGACAATGGCGACTGTCTCCAGATTAATTACGATTATACGTATTTACTCCTGCAAGAGGAGGTAGGAAAAAAACGCACCCCTAGAGTGACAGTCACCAGGCTTTTTAGATAACAGTTATGCAGAATGAAAGGGTATGAGCCTGTTAGTAGTTGGGAGCAGCTATGCCGTAGCCACTGCAGCGCCCCCTGGTTATGGCTGGGATGCGTGTGTCACCAGGGCCTGGAGGAAGCCCTGAGCACTGGAAACAGACACACCCATGGTATCCTCCGTGCTAACCCGCCGTGGAGCACCACCATGTGATGGTGAGGGCCAGGTTGTACAGCCGTTCGGGTCTCCAGCTTTGGAGTCTCATATACCTAGTTCCTCTATACTCTTCCCACCTACCCCTTTCTGGCTATGTCTCTACTTACAAGAGACCAACATCGCTAAGACGTGTTTTCCTCGTCATTCATGTGGACAGTAATAGTATGTACTTGATAGGATTGTAATGAGGATTAAATATGGGTAAACTATTTCCATAGTTCCTGGTACATTCAGACAGCTCCATTACTCTTAGCTACTATTATTATTACTTTGGACATTGTTATTACTAACTGTAGTTTCTCTTAACTATTAACCATAATTGGTGGAACACTAGCTCCTAAACGATGTTTGAAAGTGCTGTCCTGTTCGTTGAGGCAAGAGCTAGCCTCACATTGATGCCAATCCTAGAGAGCCCAGCATGGTTCACAAAGCCTTCTCCTCTGCCGCATCCCACATAGTCCTTATGGAGTCCTACAAAGTGGAAATTGTTCGTATTACCCTGTTTTTTTCCTGTAAGGACTCTGAGGCCCAGGAAAGGTGAGCCACGCTTCCCTGTGTCACCTAGTTAGTAAGAGGCTACAATGCGACTTGGATCTTTGTCCCCTGGCTTTATCCCTTTTCCCTAAGCCGTATGGTATGTGGGGTTTTGCAGAAAAGTCATAAAGTCAATTGGTTAGTCTATCCCAGCAATGAGGAACCTAGAAGAATGATGGGTCTTCAGAGTGAGTGTCCCCTAATCCTCCACATGTCACAAATGTCACATGCATAGTCCATATCCCACTGGGAGGGTGCAGGCAGTCTCATTGGGAGGAGGAAATCTCCCATCAAACAACAAAGCCCCCTGATAGCCAGCACCACCCCCAGAAAAAAAGGCTTGAGTTTAATGAAATTCCAGACCCCAGATTTGCCTTGAGATAGCCAACCTGGTACCTGGTTTCAGGCTGATTAAGTGAAGCCACGTAGAAGTCTCTCCAAACTCGGGTTTTAGAATTACTATGGATCAACAAAGGCAATGATTAAGAAAACCTGTTTTTTACAGTTAAGAAAAACTCTTTAACTGGTATGAGACTTTAGGAGGCCAATTGGCCTGGGCCCAGGCCTCAAGCACGTGTGGCTAAATCATCAGCATGTGATATATTGTCTTATTTTTACAGATCTTCAAAGAAACTGCTGCCAAAAACTCATTTACTTAAGGACCTAGGAAGGGTCTAAGTGGACCAATCTCATTCGGGGTTACCCTGTCAGGAACCTGTTCTGTGATAAGCCATCTCTCCTGCCCTTCTCAGTGAAAATGGAGGAACTTGCCCCCACTCTGACTCCCTCCTCTTTTCAGACCACCAAACTTTTCCCCACCACGGCTCCCTCCCAAACATCAAAATTTCCACAATTCTTTGCTGAGACTTCTCCAAGTCTCTTTTAAATACATGGTGCGCCCAAAACCTCACACTCTTCTCCTCCAGGTCTGGTCAAAGGTGAGAAGATTTGAGGGTTATCTTAAATGATCTCAAAATTTCCGTCTTAATTATATCCAACCATGTCATCAATTTAGCCATTATTCATGTGGCATTGGGAGAGAGCAGTGCAGGAGTGGGGATCCCAGAGCCACTGCTAACAATATGAATACGCATATAGGTGGGGTCCACTGTGACCTCCAGATCCCTTTCTGTTGGACATCAACATAACCAGCCCACATACATCCCCATCCTCCTGCTCCATGTTCTGGGCTCCCCGTAGTCGTGCCACTGGAGGCTTTACTTAGCCCCACCTGATGGTATGGTTGTAGGTGGGTGGGGGAAACACTCCGCATAATAGTCTCCACCCTGACCCCAAGGAGCCTTGATGTGTGTTCTGCAACTTCCCACATCCTCAGCACAGGAGCTCTGCCCGCTCAGGAAGGGCATTCTCAGTTGCTGCGGCCAGCCTGGACACGCAAAAAAGCCCGAGTGTGGATTCAACCATTCTGGGTCCTCCTATACAAGTGACGGGGTGGGAAAGTATCCCGAACCCCCTGAAGAAGGGGGCCCCCACAAACCACCTGCCTACACCCGTCTTCTCTTCACCCACTCCCCAGAACTTGCCTAGCCCTTACTGAACAGACTGTGAGGACCCACTGCTTTCCCGAGGCCATTGCCAGACCAGGAAAGCTGGTCCAAACTCACAAAATTGGTAGCCAGCCTCTGGGGAACTCTGAACATTGCAGGCAGGGAGGTAGCAGAGCCTCCACGTTGGTGCTTTTGGGGGAGAGGAAAGCCTGGGGAAGGGGAAAATCCCTTCTACCACTCATCGCAGTTGAGTTGGACTCTGAGCTCCTTCATTTCACATGGCCCACAGCGTTCCCTGACAGGGTACCAGATCCGGCACCCCCAAACCTACCGCCATAACGAAGTAACTGCCGGCCGGAGGCTAAAAAGGGGCCCGGCGAGATGTTCTTTTTCAATCAAAGAACAAGACAGTTCCCTGGGCCAGTGCCAGGACTATCTGAATAGAGTTGGCCAGATAAACAGGTACTTCCATTGTCGTGTTTCTTACACTAACGAGGGCGTGTGAGCGCGCGCGCACACACATACACACACTCCTAGCACTCTCACGCCTGGCCAGGCGTCCTGTGGCCCGCGGTGTCAGGGCCCGGGCATGCGTCCCGGAGCTCAGCACCGAGGGCGGTGCAGGGGGCCCCCCCGCGCACCCAGCGCCTCCTGGGCTTCGCAGCACCGACACCCGGGGCCCCGTGGGAAGTGTGCCCGGCGCGGCTCGGGCTTGGACAGTCCCGGGTTCTCCTCTCACCTTAATGTTGCTGAAGATAGAGCGGGGACAGCGGCCGGCTCGGCCCGAGGAGGCGTCGCTGCCCTGGCGCGCGCCGGGCTTGGGCAGGAGCCCCATGGTGGCGGGCAACAGCGGGGCCGGCGCGGGGTAGGGCGACTGCAGCAGCACGGGGCGGCGTCCCTTCCAGCCCCGTCGGGGTGGCGGCGGCAGGGCCCGGAGCGGGAGGCCCGGTAAGCAGGGTCGTCGCGCTAGTGCGGCCGGGCCGGTGGGTGGCGTGAGTGGCCGCGATGGCCTGAGGAGGCGCGCAGCGCAGAGACTGAGCGAGAGAGTGCGCGCCCAGAAGTTTTATAAGTGGCCGCCGCCACCACCAATGATGAAACGCGCCCTTCCTCCTCCCTCTCCTCGGGCGTCTAAGGCACTGCGAGCCCCCGCCCCCGCCGCTGATGCCCCTCGGACAGGTGTGACGCGGGAGCCCGACGCGCTTGACCTCGTTCCCGGCCCAGGGCCGTGTCTCCGCTCCTGGAGCACAGCTTGGACCCGCGAGGCTTGACCCGCCTCTGCAGAAGGTCCGGCCTGCCGGGAGGGAGTGGGGAGTGCCGGGCCCTGGGGAAGGGAGGTAGTGGCTGGACGCGGCTGGAGGCTGCAGAGGGTGGGGTCACCGGGGGTACTGGCGGAGCGGAGGAGTAGGGAGCGGGAACCGGCTGGCGAGCGACTGAAGGGACAGGAGAAAGGCTCGGTCGGAAGAGGCACGGGGGCAAGAGGAGGACCGAGGGGCGCTGGAAGAAGCCAACGGGAGGGAGCCAGGGGGGTTGGAGGAGAGCCGGGGTTTCTAGAGGAGTGGGGAGCCCCGGCGCCCTTCCCGACGTAGTCGGGAGTTTTACAGAGCCCGCCTCTGCTTGTTTGCACTCGCCGAAAGAAAACCTGGGCCCTCAGTTCCGATGATGGCTCTGAGACTCGCTGAGGCTCTGTTTGTGTCAAGGACTGATTTATATTTAAACTGTTCTTTGCTCTGGAGAGGAGGGCCAGTAACAAGGTGGAGAGGTGGGGGCCACCCCGGGGCTGGGCCCAGCTCTCTGGACCTGAGCCAAGGTAAACTGCAGGCGCTGTCAAGTGTCAGCTCAGCTGGGTCTGGCGTGGAGTGCTTCGTTTAAGGGGGGCAGGAGGGCGAGGGGGCTGGACAAACGGAAGGCACCCCACTGACCTCCTTCTCAGGGCTGGAATACAACAGCAGCTTTATTTTTCCCCCCAAGATTTTTTTTCACCAGGATTCCCAGTGCAGAGAGGAGAAATGTAAGGCATTTGAAGAGAAAAAGAAGATAGTTCTATTAAAAGCAGCTGCAGTAAGGAATCTAGAGGTATTTTTCCAGCTCCCTAATTCTGGTAGTACCCTGCAGAGACAACCTCTGCAAGCCCACCCTACTCCCAGGAAAAGCATGACTACCCTCAATACACAGGAAGCAGTGGCTACCACAAGGGCCACAGGATGGATGGACCGCATAGGTTTCTTAGTTTTACCCAAGGCCAGGTGCCTTTCTGGGCCTAGACTGGGCTGTCCTGTGTCAGGCTTCTCCTATCTCTTATCTACCTGTGATCCAAGGACCCTGAACACAGAAACATGCAGTGCCGAAGGAAAAGCCATCAGACAGTGGTGGCCTCTGGCTACTTCACCCACCCACAGAGTGCAAGGCCTCCAGAGAGGCTTTCCTGAGCTTTGCCCCAACCCCAGAGCCAGAGGAAGCATGAAACTGTGGGTCACTAGTCTGAGTCTGCTCTCCCAGGGAACTTGAAACACAAGCAGGGCTGCCACCACAGAGCCCTCAATGCATGCTGGGCACTGGACTGTAACACCCATGGTGGATTCTGCCAGGCATTCTGCTGGGCACCCACATGTGTGACGCCAAAGAACCTCAGCATTAACCCAACTGTTATAGGTGCTATTAGACAATCTGGATTTTGCAGATGGTGATGCTAGGAGTCAACTAAAAAAAAAAGTGTCTGGAAGACACACAACTACTAAATGATAGAGCCGGAACCTGAACCCAGCTTTGCCGGACTCCAAAGCCCAGATCTGAAGCTCTAAGCCCTTCGAAAACTTATCTATTCCAGCAGCCTCATTTCACAAGTGAAAGCAAGCAGAGACCAGAGAAGGCCAAGGTCACAGGCACATTAGGGCTGCCATGGCTAGACTTTTCTTTAAACCCTGAGGCCTTGCTGGGGTCCTCTGATGGGATCCCAGGCGGGAGCAGCCTCTCCAACAGTCAGCTTGGTAGGGTAGGTAGAGATAAGCAGGAGAAGAAGGGAATTAGCCCCAGTTAGGAGGACCCTTGCAGCTGCTCCTACTTGAGCCAAGGCCCCTTGCAGCTGCTCTCACTCAAGGCACAAACACCTTGCTTGCTCAGCAAGATATTGAGAACAAGACATATCATTAGAAGAAGGAAAAATGCTCGAGAGGGAGAGAAACCATCCCACTTATCAGAATACACATCCTGCTTCTCAGGACCACTTTTAATGAGCTTCTCAAATAAAGCATGGAAAATTAACAGGCTCACACTTACACTCTGAGAAATAACCTTGGGAACTAGAGCGAAGGATGGGACACCTCAGCAGAGAGAAAGATAACAGAGGGAGAGGGGGAGACAATTCTACCCATAGAGATAAAAACCCTCACACAGTGTAAGGAGAGGCTGCTTCCCTCTCTTGGGTCAGCCAGCTCCATGTCTCGGACTGTACTTACTTTGACTAATAAACTTCTTGCTGTCCTATGCTGCACAAACTGTGTCTCTTGACTGAATTCTTTCCTTCAAGAAGACAAGCGCTCAGGTACAACGTCATTCCCGGTAACAGATGCATCCTGCTCCATTAATCTTGCCCTCTGCCTGCTGTCAGGACCAGCATCATCTCCAAAAGAAAGGCCAACTCAGAAACGCTCATAGATGGTTATCTGCCTTCATCTACCTTTACTAGGTGGAGTTCAGCTAAATATGATGGAAACCCAACCGAAGTGGCCTCAATGAGAATTGTTTGTCGTAGTAAGAAGCCTGCTCGTAGCCAGTCCAGTGGTCATAACCAAGGTCCCTTCAGGATTCCTCAGTGTGCGGCTCTCATCCTCATGGTCACCAGGAGAGGAGGTCCAGCCTCCTCTCCTAATTTCAGGAAGGAAGTGGGAGACAGGAACTAGGAAGGGGCTGTGCTCACGTCAGTGAAGCAAATCTCTCCCATGCAGGCTTAGCTACTTTTCATTAAGTCTTGTTGGCCCAAACTGGGCTACAAGACTACCCTCGGTAAAGGAGGCTAAGAAATGTAGTTAATACCATTGCTGCTATTAGGGAAAAGAAGAGAAAGGATATTGTATATTCAGCTTTCAGTGTCTGCACATAGAATAACCCATTTCCCCGAAAGCACCTTCAGGGTCTGCTTCTAAGACCCTTCCCAGATCCTTTGACTTTAGCAAATATTTCTTAGCATGGTGGAAAACGAAGCACAAGGACATCCCCTGACTTCAAAGACCCCGTAGTCTCAGGTGGGGAACAGGAAGAGAACGCATCGCATCGGTGTGATGCAGGAAGACAGCTGCTGTGCACAACTGCTGTGGTAACACAGAAGAGGGGCCCTAACATCCTGGGGCTGCAGGGAGGCTTCCTGCAGGAGGTGACTCCCAAGCTGAGCCCTCAGGACTAAAAGGATTAGGAGGATTAGGGTGAAGAAAAGTAAATCTGCTCTATGGTTTCAGTCTGGCTGGAGCAGAGGGGCCCAGGGACAATGGGAATGTGTGTGATGAAGAGGCTGGCACACTCAACGGGGCGGTGGTGGGGAGGGGGCATGGAACCTGGAGTGATTTGCATTTCACAGAGACTTTTCTCTGGCATTTGGGTAAGGGTGCAATGGGGCAGTCTGTGGAAGGAAGCTCAGGAGATATGATGAGGCAATGATTGAGAGAAAGGTACAGAGATTTTGAAAGGAGAGGGCATCCAGGTGTAGTGAGGGAGGTGTTAGGGACAACTCCCAGGGTATGACTTGGGCAACATGCACTGGTGATGTTCACCCCTGGCAGAGGGAGTCCAGGAAGAGGAACAGCTACTGGAGGAATGCTGTGAGTCCCCCCGGCTCGTTTTGAGTTCAAATTGCCTAAAGTACATGCAGGTCAAGATGCCCAGAAGGTAGATGGATATGTGGGTCCAGGGCTCAGGTAGACACTGGACTAGTGATAGGGACTTGGGCATGCCACGTGGAAGCGGTGAGCAGTGGGAATAGATGCGTCTCCCAGTGAGACTGTGCTGATGAGAAGTAGATTCAGGACCAGCCACAGCAACATCCAGGGGTGGCACAGAGGATGGAGCCAGCAAAAGGGACAGAGGGGAGAGTCCACTGTGGAGGGAAGTACTCCAGTCAAGGGGTGATGTTTCAAAGAGAAGGAGATCAGGAGCACATCTAGGTTGCTGAGGAGGGAAGGTAAGACCTGAGGAGGACCACTGGGCTGGCAACAGGCTGGCATTGAGGACCCTGGCGAGAGCGTTTCCAGCAGGTGATGTGTGCAGAGGCCAGATTGTGTGGGGTAAGGAGGAACTAGAAAGGAGAAAGTGCAAACAGAAGCCATCAGCAACTTTCCCTGGTGGCGGAGGGAAGGAGAAAGGAAAGGAGCAGCTGAGCAGCTTCGGGATCTCCTCTCAGCCGAATTGTCTCCATCTTTCTCGGGGTCTCATGCTGGAGTTGTTGCGCATTCACACTTCCGGGCTTTTGCTGATGCTGTTCTCCCCACCCCCATGCTGCCTGCCTCAGGTGCTTGGCAGCTCCTATTACCACCTGTTCTGAGCCCCCTTAACAAGAGTAGAAACATGTCTTAGTGGTATAAACCTGTTACATACATTGTCCACTGTGACTCAGGGAACTGGAGGTCATTATTCCTATTTTACAGATAATAAACTGAGGCTCGAGACTCTTTCCCTAGCACACTGTTCCTGCCTTTATTATCACAGGTCACAGTGGAGACAGTAGGTGTGGTGGCTATAGGGCACAGGACCTTATAGTCAGGCATAGATGCTGACCACCCTCCACATCAGCTGTGTCGCCTTAGATGGGCTACTTACTGTCTTGGATTCTCAGTGCCTTCTTTTAAGATAAAGACATTAATATCCACCACCCGGGGCTGTTATAGTGTGTAGTGAGGTCTCGATGCTGAGGGCTGCAGTTGCTGTGGTGGTGGGCGGTACTGATGGTATAATAGTAAGTGTACCCTGTGTTTCTCCTTCAACTCAGCTGTGAGATCCTTGGAACCAAGGTTCTGTGTTAATTCTCTTTTGGTCCCTCATTTGGCCCAGCATACCCTGCTGCTTAAAAATGATTACATGGAATTGAACTGAAATGAATTCCAAAAAGACCCAGTGAGTAGGGAAGGCCTCATTGTCCTTAGGCCTCCAGGCCAGTTGCTATCTCTATCAGCTCTCCACTGCTGCATTCCAGGGACAAGCCCTTCTGCCCCCTGGAAGCCTCACATCATCAGCCTTGTCCTCACAAGTGGCTGGCCATTAGCCCCTGGGTGTGTTTATCAGTCCACAGGCCACACTCTCCACTCCGGCAACAGCTGATGAAGGTGCGTTGCCAATTTGGATACTTGAATGTCATCATGGATTAACTCTGGCTGCCTGGTTCCTTGTATACCAACAGGTATGCGGGGTCCCCCAATGACTGTTCCCACTGCCAGGCGGAGGACACCTCTGAGCCACGTGCTCCACCACTTTGTTACCGTCACTAATGAGGCAGCCTGTTCCGCTTGTGGGCAG